CCACCATGGCTCCTTACAAGGTACCCCCTGGAAGCGAGTCTATCATGCAGACATACCCGACTCAACTGGCTTCTCCCCCCTTCTACTAACCTTCCCGGAAGGCACCGACCCGACCAGGCTGTCCCAGCCTGACTCCCTAGCGGCGCCCCACTTAGCTTATTCACTGTCCTTTTTTGTGCACGAGTGGCACTCTCCGCATGACTCGAAGGCGGCACTGTTGTATACACCTCCTTATATCTTTGTGTCTCTGCCAAGGTTCACAAATGCCGGAGCGAAGCAGCACTGGAGACTCACGGGCTTGCAGGACGAAGTACAGCTGCCTGCATGGACCGGGCCTCACTCTCAATCCTTTGTTCGCTACAGATCCGTCTCGGGACTCTTTCACATAGGGCAGGAAGCCACCTCAGGTCATTACAGATCCTTCACCTTGCTTCCCTCTCTCCAGGTAGGTGATGACTCCAGCCCGGGCTTCTCGCCTACGAGCGAGGAACGTGCACAGATCGGGTCAGGAGCTTACCTTTTGCTCCTCCAACGCTTAAGTTAAGTCCCGTTCATCTTCGTGTGAGGTCCCCTCCTGAAGGCGAACGGGAAGCGATTTCACTCGTGATACCATGCGTGTCCTCCCCAAGCGCTATGGAGCAAGCCCAGCAGGAGCTGCTGAACAACCCTGCACTATGCCAAGTGCTCTTTAAGAACCTCCCCCATCTTGCCGCTTCATCCATGGCTGCGCGGGCATTTGGCCCTGATGAACGTTCAACGTCCAGAGAACTGGTCCCTGCTCACGACAGGGACAGGCCTCCCAAACAGCGCCGTCAGCAAAAGGACCTGGAGCAGGACGAGGAAATGCCGCCGACTCGGTTGCCCTCACCGTCCAGAAGGCCCAGGAGGACTGGTCGCCGTAATGGCTCCAGACCAAGGGCCTCGCAAAACGGTCTGCCGAAATCAAAGCAGGAGGTCAAACCAACCGCTGACCTCTTGGCCAGCATCATCTTGGCCCTGCTGAATCACGAGGATGAATTGACAGCCTTGCGACACCATCATGGATGGATCTTCTACGCCACGGTGCACCAAGCGAACAGTGTGGTTCCCTCCTTGGCACGGATCCAGCAACAGTGGAAGTCGGACCAGCCCCAGGACCCCCCTGGCAAGCCCGTTCGCTACGCCCTGTTCCTCGGTCTCCTTCACGAGCTGCACACTCGAGCCCAGGGCTTCGATCACGTCGCCTACGACAGCACGAATCAGGACAAGGAATCAGCACTTATCTCTCTACCAGGAGCACTTGCCTCCCGAGGTCGACACCACACGGACGAGAACCCTGCCTTCTACTGGAACTACATGAGATGGGACGCCAAACAGCGGAAGGTAGTCATCGATGCCCAACGCCCTCCTCTCTCGCCCAAGGTTGTCTCCACCCACCTGGCGGCTATGCTCAAGCTAGATCAAGAACAGCTCACCAAGTTCAGGCCGTCCAGACCGCTGCGAGCCAACCTGACGGAAGAAAGGCCGGTCATCGCCTTCCTCCTGGAACTGGCCCTGACCATCGGAGACGACCATGAGGCAATGCACGCCTCTCGACTTCTAGCGAACAACTCAGTCTGGAACCTAGTGGGGGTCACCATGCGCAGGGAGGGCCTAAGACGGTCTCCACAGATGCAGACCCTCCGTGATCAGCTAGAAGCGCTGCGCACAGGAGGCAACGAGGGCTAAAGTTTTCCAGGACGCCCGAGTCGAGGTCCCCTCCTGAGCTGTCCAAGGCCCCCTTGCCCTCCTGGGGGATCTAGCAAGTCACTTAGCCTCAGACAACCCTCCTACTCTCGTGTAGAGGTCCCCTCCTGAGAGAACGAGGGCGCTGATAAGTCAGCCTGTTTTCTTTCTCCCTTCTCTGCCGCCTCGTGCGCACCGTGCCTGCCAGGAAAAGTCTTTTCTGCACCACACGTCAGGCTTCAAGTGGCGTACTGACTATTGCATCGAACTGCCTTTCTCCCATTACAACTGAGGCCGAGCTACACTAACGTCAGCTGTCGACCAGAGCGAGTCACACTCCAGTCTCTCGCATTGCTTACAAGCTGAGAGACTTTCCGCCATGTGCCTGACTGAAGCCCCAACTTAACTCAGCATCAGCCGTTCTGCTCATATTGATCAGTACAGATTGTTCCTCCATCATCACCACGCCATGGCAACCAACCCGGAGGGCACGACTCTTGCCATTGAGAACACCCCTGGCATTCACACCCAGCCGACGACAAGCCAGGCCAATGTCGCCCAAGCGCTGGTTAAGGCAACGGCACCTCCGCCACCACAGTCATCATGCGGAGCAGGCTGCGACCAATGCCACAGTGCTCCATGTGTTCGACACAAGCCGGGACATCTGTGGCACTGCTGCTTCGGGTGTAGAGACTCCTGGGCGGTGCAACAAGCCCGCTCCAGATACTGGTAGCTATGAGCAGGATAGAGCTCGACTTTTTGCGACCAGCAAGTGAGGTCTCCTCCTGCAGGTAAAACGCAGCTATGTTCTCACAGCTGCGCGCCGTCGACCGAGCCAACAGTCTCAACTAAAACCATCTGCCCTAAATGCATGACAGCACTTAACTTATCTAATGTCTCTCCGCTCCTAAATTGCTGCACAGGCCCCACTGTCGAGCCCAGCACTCAGCCAGTCCTTGTGCATTGCTGAGATAAATGTCTGACCTTACGCGCTGGCAAGACTCTGTGCTCAAAGAAGGTCCACTAGGTCTACAGCGCAGGGCACCTAGGACCATGCCCCCGCGGAAAAGACAGTCGAAAGCTTCGACTCTGCCCTCGTTCGATCTCGCCTCCAACATCTGCACAGAAGCTGATAGGCTGCTGCCTTCGAACTATGTCCCCATCTCGCATAAGAGAATGGACGAGATCAGAAACTACCGCTGGGAGAAGGGCCTCCGTGCTATATCAAGAAGCATGATGGCCCGTCAATCGACAAGGCCGGTCTCGAGCCAGAGACAAGCGGATAAAGAAAGCAAGAGACTAGAAGAGCTTGGAATAAAAAAGCCTGGACTCACTGCAGAGGACTTAGCGGCCCTTCCTACCTCGGACGTGTACAAGAATCTCTCTTCGCTTTCCTTGATCTCGGTCGATACTTCCCGACCGGCAAGCTCCAGCGTGAGGTCGCCTCCGAGGAGCGGACACAGGGAAGCGAAAACAGAACCATCCTCCTCATCTAAGCTCCAGGCAGAGCAGGCGAAAACCTTCACGGCAGAGCCAACACGAGAGCATGCACCGCAACCCTATGCGGGCCAAGGCGTGGGCAGGAAAGAAACCTGCAAGGAAGAGTCTGACTCAGACATACCACCCTGGGCGGACTCGAAGAAGTCGCGCTCATCTCAGTACACCGGTGCAGGAGTTGGACAAAAGGAGGCCTTCATCAGGCAGCCACCTCCACCTCCATCTCCTCCCGCAAGACAATCAGCTTCTGACCCAGGCCATCTTGAAGGCATCGCGCGCCTCACTTCCACAGAGGAGCTCCAGGTCGTCAATCTTACGCAAGCAGCTCCTCCTCCGCGCGAGTTCCTGAACTACCCGGTGCATCAAGGAGTGATAGTTCTTCCAGCAGCCACAGTTCAGGCTCGCGTGGCAAGCAAGAAGGAACAAGACAAGGGCAAGGCGGTCATTCACTCCTTCCCCTACTCCTACCCGCAGGAATTCCCTTTGGAATTGGATGTTCACGTGCAAGTTCGGAAATCGCAGGACGAGCAAGTCAGCATGGTTCTAAAACTGATCCGCACAGCATCCATGAAGGGCGTCACCAGAGCTGTATACAACTTCAAGGGCGGGGAATTCTACTCGGTCTTCAAACTCTCAGTTGTTGCTCCCCAGGAAGAACAGGCCCAAGACGGACTTCAGGCTCATGAAGCGGAACTTGACTTGGCACACGTTTTCCCAGAGATGGTCCCTACGGTGGCAAACGTCTTTGCTATCCAGCTCAGAGTGGCTTCCGCGGTCAATCCCCTGGAGTTTCCCAAGTCTCCCACGCCGAGTGAGGTCTCCTCCTGGCGGGGAGCCTCGGGCCCGCCGAAGTATCTCCTCATTCAGCAAGCCTACGGCATCATGGTGGAAAAGGTCCAGCCGCTGGATAACCTCCCACCGCATCTACGCCCCAGCATGGACGAGTGCTACCTGCTGATTCTCCTAGTACTCAAATCGGCGCTCCTAGGATACTATGTACGAGACTG